TGTGTGACTATTTACTGGATATTTAATTTAATGCGGTTTCAGCTGTGTTAATTTGGTCAGATTGAGTGTCCAAACACGCTCATCAGATAAGAGATAGATCAGAATATATCGAGAAAGATCTAAATGTATGTGCTGACTCAGATAGTTGCGCTGAATATTGGTTGTTGTTGATTATTTATTGCACTGAAATGTGCCTGACACTATTAAGACCTGCCTGTGAGGCATCAGTGACATGTGCATACTACTGTGCCAGTCTACCAAAATACCACTTGGCTAACTGCGCTCCGCTGCGCCGAAAGCTAACCAGGTTTAAATCGGCGAGCTTTTGGCACACTTTCTACACCGCCGGCAAGCACGAAAATATAACTGTGCAAGCTAATTCTGTTGACCCCTCCCCCTACTGCACTGCCACACCCAGCTTAGCACACCTTGGTGCACCTTGGTCTAAGAAAATACCAAATTCCGGGCTGCGCTGCACTGAAATACCACTGCACGGGCGGGCAGGCACGAAAATAGAGCCCAGAGGTGTCTGAAAGGAAGTCAGTTTATCATATGATGAGGTGATAAGGTTTGTGCATGTGGCCCTGGCGATTAGCTGCACTATGGAAACATGTATTGTACTCAGTCTTGGCTCAGTTACTCTGAATGCCATAATCACTAGCATCATTCAGAACAGAATGGCACCAAGCTCACATTACATACACAAACAAAAGGCATTTCAATTCAAGAACCAGAGGAGCATAATGAGCTGTGAAATATTCAAAAAAGAGCCCAAGTTTGCAAGGAAATGTTTGCAAAGCAGGAGTAGGGTTAAACACCAAGATATCCTACGCAGCAGATGTGATGTTGTCAAAAGTTTCAATACTTTTTAATAGTTTTTGGTTCCATGACCCTTAAAATAATACAATATATCTAATATTCTTTTACCATCAAGAGCACTTGAAAGCCAAAGTACATGTGAAAATAATTTATACTTAGTTACAACCAGAAGCTGCTCAAAGTAAATGGAATTGAGAGGACAGTGGTTGACCAATGCACAGAGAGCGCTAGTAATATAACAAACACAGCAAAACTGAAAAATGAGAAGTACTTTCCAGTTGCCTCACAGCAGTTAAGATGAAAATACTTCTCCTCAGTCAAAGGTCAGCAAATACTGATGTTTTATTAAGTACTTCAGCATCTAACACAGGTGCATGGTGCAATTTTGTCTGTAGCAGATATGTCATTAAGTCCTTTTATGTTTTCTGTTAGTTCAGACCTGCAAACTTTTGACAAGGAGCTTCAGAGCGCTGCACAATGACTTATGCCAATAAAGTGTCTAAATGAGTAAAACAATGAGAAAATTTAGACAAAGATTACATAGTCTGCAGATACACACCACCCCATACCTCCTCTGAATCATGAGAGACAATTCATGAGAAACATTTCATTTTGTCTTTTTAGTATTACTATTAACCAGTATTGTATGGTTATTGTATTGTTTATGTTGTAGTGATGATGTTTTATCATTAAGTCAGCCAAACGTGCACATCCCTAATTAACTCTAGTTTGCGACAGTAACGATGTTTTGTGCATATAGGGACAGCTGTGTGGCTAACACATCCTCATTATTGGTGTTGCTACATTAAAGACAGGACTTTATCATGCAAATGATCTTTCCTCTTCAAATCACTTTTCTCGTGTCATGTTTGGTTTCACAAAACTTCTAATGAATCACTTCTGGTGACCCTAACTCTAACTCTAACCTTTCAACAATTAGAAAACAATTCAGTCCGTCAAAGTGTTTCACTATTTCATGAAAGGTTCTTGTTTGCAGCAATGTCTTTCATCTTCCTGCACCACAATACCAGCAGCGCATGCAACTTCCACTTTGGCTTAACCTGATACTCAAGCAGCTTTGCAGCAGCAGTGACAGAACTGCCACAGTGTGCTTCACAGACACCCTTGGGTGATCACATACACTGCAAACAACGCCCCACCGACCACCTGAGACTCTGGTAAAGACACAAGAGACACCTGAGTCCTGGCTGTCTCTGGGCCCCTTCACACCCTGCTGCTCCATGGTCATCCTATCCTGTCTAGTTAACGTTGTAAGCCAGGATTATCAGCCTGCACTCTGCTCAAATGACAGTGATTGGTGGAGGGTGCTAATGTACAAGAGGCAATTAAACCTGTCCCACAGCAGGATGTAGACCATATGTTCACTCATGTATTCCCATTCATGACAGTAATCGAAAAGAAAAATTAGGCTATTACCACCCTGAGGAAATTACATTCAGGATAACTGAGTTAATGTACAATGTAACTGGAGCCATGTTCTTCTGAGATAGTGTTATTTGGCACAATGGTAATCCATTTTAGTGTTATTACTGTGTATGGCTTGATTCTGCCATTAAGAACCTCAGACGAAATTACAGACAGGCCCACTGCCTCAAACAGATTCTCTGATATGCCATCTTCAGTATGCTTTGCACAACCAATTGGCCACTTGTTTCTGTAAAAATACAGTAGAATACCTTTTTCTAATTGTTTCATTCTGATTGCAACAGTGCATAGATCTCAGCTCACTTTTTATATAACAATAGCTGTGTCTAATCGACTGGATTTTACACTTAGTACCAGCCATATCCTTTTCTAAATCCAATGAAAATGTGTTCACTGCATCATGACTGAGTTCAGCCTGGATCTTTGTTATATTAATGCTGTCAGGAATGTTCTTGCGAGAGATTACCTGTTAACTTTTTGGGTGAAATTTTAAGGCATTTTTTCAAGCATTCCAAGACCAGATTTTAAGACACATTGGGGATATAATGCAGTATCTGACAGAAGCTGAATACTTGTTAAGTAGAGTGGGGACTTAAATGTATGCTCTGTATAATCTTATATTAACCTCAGGATTATTATTTATGAGGACAGGCTGGGCGTCCATTGTTTCCACAGGGTGACCAGCTGTGGGTCTGTTACACAGAGGGACTTAAAGCCTCCAGTCCTCCACACAGCAGACCCTCTTTGTTGTGGTCAGGGTCATTAAAAGAGGGCGGCCTGGGTACTGGCCCCCCTCACTGTTCTGAGACCCCACACCCATAACGCACACACACAACACATAACACATACCTCTGACTTCCAAACTACTGTGTGCCTCTTGTTTGGTCCCATTCAGCCATGTTTGGTACATCCTCTACCATTGAAGTCATTACAAAAAAGTGACCCACACACCTATGATATCAAAAAATATATTTGTAGGTCAATAAACTAACAAATAAACAAGTATTAAAAAAACTTATATCTATTAATGACAATACTTAACAAGACTCAGAAATTTTAAGAATAAAAAAAAAGGCTGTGATTAACTATTCGGGTTAAAGTGCCTTTTCAATACAGCTTTAACAGGTGGAACTCGTCTATATCTGTTCACAAACTGTTGACATTCACAATGTTTGCGAGCAGTTCAGCAAACAAAAAGACAATGAGCAAGTTAGTCTGATCACCGACTCATTCAAAGTATATGACAACAGGAAAAATACTGTTTTAAGACTGGCAAAGTCCATAGTCAACGCACAGACAAAAGACAGTTGTGGATCATTTCCCTTTACACTGTCAAACTTCTCCTTTCAGAGAGGATCGCTAATATTTGACTAAAAAACAGTTTGATTTGTCATTTTCGACAGAGAGCCTAAGCTGCCAAGAGCTGACAAAACTATTCCTCTCATGTCACTGGTTAATTCAAGACTCTGCAACAGTTTAGGCAACTGTGAATTAACTGCATCACTAAAGTCATTTGGGCTAACGTAAAACAACTGTTAAGTTTTTATCATTACATGTCTTGACGTTTACTATTAAATATAAAGTTTGACAAGTTCATAAGAACTACACTTATTTACTCTATCATCTAGAGTTTGCTAAAAGGATTAATACTACTCCCAGCAGTCAGTTAGCTTGGCTTTGTATTATGACCAGACTACAGCCTAGTCCCTAGCCTGTAAAGGCTTACAAAGAATTATGTTATACAACGCATTTTAGATTATCCATTGTAATTCTCTAACTTGTGCTACCATTTTATCATTAAGTCAAGTTTTATCATTAGATAGTGCTACAAAAATATAAGAAAAATGTAATGAAATGTGATTTCAGCTGTAGGTCAAAGATGACTAATTGGCTCCCTATAATAGTAAAATTATGTGATTAAATGCTGAATGATTATTGTGTCTCCTGCTGTGTTGTCCTATACCTGTATTAAAATAAACCCTCCCGCTCTTCCTTCAATGTAGAGTGTGGGCGTGCCACCTGCCCTCAAAACAGTATTCACTTTCACTTGAATCAATGTGAAACTTGTGGCTGCCGCAAAGATTAACGGTGAACTACAGTAATGTCAACATGTTGTGCAACAGCCGGCAGCCACAGGATGAGAGAGGAGAGTGGGGAGAGAAACAGGAGGACGCAGGTGACTGTATCTCTAAGTTTAGGCCAAGGAACACATTGAGCACCAAGAGAAAGTGCATGAGTGCTTACAAGTAAACTACTGCCAGGCTAAAAACTGAGAGATATCATTCTAAATTATAATAACATACAGTACAGGCCAAAAGTTAGGACACATCTTCTCATTCAATGTATTTTCTTTATTCTCATTACTACTTAAATGATTTAGTAAATGATTTAAATGATTTAGTAGATTAGCAGCCTGTTAGAATATGTAAGTGGTAAAAGAGCTCAAACCCTTCCATTTTTCATGCCACACTTTAAACACACTTTACAAGTGAAATCTGTCATTTGATTTAGTGAGTGTTATCACCAAAATAAAGCCAAAGCTATTAAAGTGAGGTTTTGGTGTCAGGTCCTTTTCAGTCATATGACTTTTTTCAATAAGTTTTATCATCCAGTTGGACAGACAAGCATGTTATGGTAAACAAAAAACAGGTTAGGCCTATTAATTGTGGACAGCATGCTGGAAATGCTGAATCAACCAAACCTTGAGTCAACCTAACTTAAGATAAAGAGGTGGGGTTGAGAGTGGCCTTTGACTGCAGGAACTACTTTCACCTTTACTGTTGCATAATGCCAGACTAATTAATAGTAACATTAGCTTTGATGTAGCTGACTGCTTATATTCTGTCTGTTGTCGTACCGTATATTAGACTATAAAATATAAAACGTATGGCCCCATTTTAGGCAAGATAGCATTGAACAAGAATTTGGGGCTGATAACATACAAGACATGACCCATTTGAAGCAACACAAATGGGCAAAAATATGAATAGATTTAGTGTTACCTAATGATATTAGCCACTTAGACTTAGCAATGGTGGGTCTTGCTTTGAAGGTTGGATAGGCAGGATCTGAGGAAGTACCAGTTTTTGGGAGAAGTCTTGAATGTAAACACTACCCCTCCCAACCAGTTTTCCCCTCAGCTCCTCCTTTCTCCTCCTTCTCTGCTCCAGCAAGCCCCGCCCACAAACAGACGCTCCTGCTCACTCGTATCATTTCAATTAAATACAGATATAAAGCAGATAAATACTTCAGATAATTACAAATGGGGCCCAGTCAACGTGAAAGCAAAAAGCATTGATGCTACTGTAAATGCCAACAGACTACCAGCAAACACGTTTGCAGGACTTCTACAACTAGGATAAAGTGACATACTCCAGGACCCGAGATAAACAGTTTAGCAGCGCTACAACACGCAGCAGGTCCCGTTTGACAACAAACACGTCTGTTACAGACACTTGGCTTACTTTGTTAATGCGGTTTACCTGTCCAGCAGAAAGGTTACAGGGTCTGTGAGATCCCAAAGTGTCCCCCATCGTTTATGCTTCATTGATATTGACCCGGCTTTTCAGCTCTTTTCCGGTCTACCTCTGTTTTAAGCGCCTGTTATTCTGCCAGTCTCTTGTATTTACTTTGTTTTATTGCTTGTGTTTTCCGACTTTCTGGTTAGTTTCTACTGTCTAATGTTGTAGCACACTAACTTTGTTTGGGCTCCTGCATGTTGTTGGAGGACGTGGAGTGTGCCTCACAACACAAGGGAGCTGCAACTGCCTCACAACCAGTTAAGTTAGGGGAAGCAGAGGACAGCTTTGTTTATGGTCAGACAGAGCGGGCCCTCAAAAAATTTTGAATGTTGCCTACTCAGACATAACAAAACACAGTGATATCGTTATATTCCCCAATGTCATCAATAACTAATAGCTATTGACTGATATTAAAAGCTTTTTTATATATACACCACAAAAAAGGTGCTTCTTAAACGTAATCCTGCCTACCCCACCTTTAACTCACCTGCAGAATATGAAGCTCTCAGTGAGTGCTTGCCCCTCAAGAAGATGAAGCCAATGGTGAGTTTACGAATGCTTGTTGAACTGTAATTATCATATACATATTGAGTGGTTTCTGAACTTACTGAGTGTAAAATGTTTCAACAATGAGAGCCCATCAATGTGTGTGTGTGTGTGTGTGTGTGTGTGTGTGTGTGTGTGTGTGTGTGTGTGTGTGTGTGTGTGTGTGTGGGGGGGGGGGGGGGGGGGGGGGGTCTCGCGTGTGTGTGAGAGGGAGACAGCCTTGCTCCGCCCAGGCCAGCGGCGCAGCGTCATTACCGTTGGAACCGCTGAAAGGAGCAGTCGGTCCTTTTAAACAAGCAGTGTTCACTCATCGGCGGAGCCAGAAAAAGGATCGACTCACGGTGAAAAGACGACGTTTCAGCGCCAAAAAGGCACATGGAGTTATTACGTTTTCCGCGGTTCACGAGGTGACTTTGTGGCTGACGAGGACGCCTCCAAAACAAGTGAGTACACCGAGCACCGGAGGAGTTTTTCCAGGCTGGATTTCAGAGGTGACGAGCTAACTTTAACGTTACATATATCTAACCGCCCACTGGGGCTAACGCACTCCGTGGGTTAGCGGTCCGGTTAGACTACTTGAAAGTGTATAATTCAACAAAGAATGCCATATTGTATTAAGCAATATCAATGTATAAAGTGTTTGGTTGTAGCATATTGATAAAACTCAGTATGGAAAGAAGAAAACTCGAGAAACAGTACAAAGTTGACACCTATAGAGATCACACGACAGCAGTAAAGAAGCAGCTCCGTCCTTAAAATAGCGAGGGGCACAGTTGTATCCAGCTGTTCAAATTGATTTATGGTTTGCCAGGTCGTTTACAGACATTTAGAAACTAGAGTACCCCAAATGTGAACAATCAGGCGCGTCTCTTCTTTATCATCCTTTTCAATTAACTCTACATAAATAAAACAGGAAGTTTGAAGTTTTATCGAATTGTACTTTGTAGTCATCAGCCTTGTTAATATCTATTCAAACGTATCGGGTAATTTAATAAGTAATGGAGCATATTCAACAGTTGATCCCTGTCAGTGCTAACAGACAAAAACTTCACGAATTTACCAAGATACGTAAAACCCCTGAAACCTCAGACACTATCGAGAGGACAGTTTCTAGCAAAATGTAGCAGAAAACGAACCAACAAAATTGGAAATTGGAAAGAGCTAACACTAAAAGTAATGTAAGACAGTGTTCATCCCTTTTCCATTGACTTGCAGGTCTGGAATTAAATAGCTACTGAGCAGTAACCCCTTTTTCCCTCCTCTTTCATCCCTCCTTTTCTCTGAAGCCCTATGTGCTTTCCAAGATAAAAGTCTCTAATCACATGAGCAACATTTTCCAGAATTTCTTTGCACAGATGTGATTCTCAGCTCTGCAGCCCAGCTATGTTTATACTGAAAAGTCCAAACCACTCTTAAAACGAGAAGCCTCAGACTCAGGCTGGAGGAGTTTCTGTCTTGATGGTGATCAAAAAGTAGAGCTATACAACTAGCAAGCAGTGTACACAATTATGAAATGAATACCCCTGCCTTTCTCAAAGCAGTCACATTAGCTGCTCTTCATTACATAACAGTGATGAACTCTTGTGTTTTTCCATAACAAATAATCTAAGCCATAAAAGTTGTTTATAGCTTTCATTATATACCATGTTGTGGACATTATAATACCTCCATGATTTTCTTGTGAATCTGAGATGCCACTTATTTACTGACTCTGCCCTTTCTCTGCCTTGCATGGTTGCACTACAAGTGAACCACTACAGGGCTGTATGTTTATGTAGTATGTGTTTTGACCAGTCATGTAAGTTAACAGAAGTTTTAGACACATTTGTGAGAGGCTGTAGGATATCACTTTTTAGAGGTCAGCCTGTGTGCAAATCTGCTGTATCAAGTTGGTGTTTGGGATTGAGATGTTGCACATGTTTTTTGTTTGTCATGTCAGTGTTCCTAGACTTCAAGTGCCTGCAGCTGTTGTAGAGTGTTTTGATATTTTCCCCCTCTATTTTAGGTAACGGTCAAGCGTTATTCATTTTTCAGTAGCTCTAGGCAAGGGCGTGTTAATCAGTGATTGATAAACAATATAAATATCACATTGTTTACTTTTTGTTCTTTATGTTTTGTGTGAATGGAGGTAACACTGACAAGGGTTAATCTGTTTATTTAAATCAGTCTTATGAGGGCAGGCATCAGCCAGTGTTGATCATTTCAAAAGGCCATTAATCAGCCCAACTGATCAATCAGTCTATCTCCTAGTTTCAGATACACAAAAAGATCCATTTCCAAAGGCATGATTAACATAAATAGCCATTGGCTGTTCTAAATCCATTTGGTCTTGCAGATGCAGCAAGCATCAACAAAATAGCCAATGACTTTTCCATTCCCTGAGTAAAGTGTTTACTTTTTCATATTTGCTGCTGTTCAGTAGAACAAGATGCCTTTTCCTTCTCAAGGATACTCTTAAGTGTCCTCAGTGTACAGTCACTTGTTGATTAAGTCAAACCGTTGACTTTTTGACTTTGTGGCATCTTCTCTTAATACTCTAATGTACTTCACTCACGTTATCTGGTCCACCCAATGGACTCCACCCTATTACTGTGCCAGACATCCTGATAATAGCTGACTAATATTTTCTAGGGATGCAGAGAGGCACGGGGGGAAGAAGTTATGACAGCATTAATATAAATCACAGTAGTTTCTTCTCAGCACCAAGAATCTTGCAGCACATTCGTTCAATTTGCATCACTTTTTCGTAAGAACATGCTTATGACAGACGTCAGTATAATGTTGAATCAACAATCAAAGGCTTCCTTCCCTCTCCTTTCAGGGTCAGCAAATTTAGCACATCACATATGGGAGTCCTGAAAATATCCAGAGATGCTGCTAATTATGAGGACATCCCAGTAGGTCTGAACTACAAGCACACTGTCGTCATTCCTATTGACACAGAAATGTTCAGAGAGAATCTCAAACTTTCACCAGTATAACTGCTTTCAATTGTACCCAGTGTTTTCTTTGATGAAACCTTAGACAGGACTCACCTCACAGTGGGGTTTGTCGGTTGTTAGGCTGAGCTCCTTTTTCCATCCAACTTTGAGTGAGCTTTAGTGAGCTGTCTCATAAATCTTTCAATCGAATGGGACTGTGTGTTCACAAAACAGAAAAATTTCTACCTTCGAGAGTGCTAAAATAACAATGGGCAACCCCTTGTTATCTTTGTCATTACCTTTTATAGATCTTTGTCACATATTTGCCAGAACAGGGGTGTATTAAGAAAGTATTTCAAGCAAAGTCTGGCACACTACAAGGAACTTAGACTTGAATATGTTTACAACAAAGTGTAGTTAAACATTATGGTTGCACTCTCACGGTGTCTTAACCACAGCAACATAAATTAATTGTTATCAGTTAGAGTTTTGTTCTGTTTTGCGGCTTCCTGCTTCCCTTTAGGCTTTTTGAATGCTTATTGTGCTTGGTTTCATTTATTTAGTAATTGCTGCATACTTTGTTACAAGGGCTGAAAATAGTTCCCTAAAAAGATGAATCGATCCAAATCAGATTCAGTTCGAAGATGTTTCATTAAAAATTAAGAAGGATCCCGTTCTGATTTGATAATGAGTCAGTTCAATTCACTTTGTTCTGTTTCAGTGTTAATTGATTATTGACTCCAAAGAAAACTTAAATCAATTAAAGTTATTTTGACTTCCAAAATAGCCGTCCTATATTTATTCTCAGAGAGACAAAAGACTAGGCATTCTGAAATCAGAAATAATAATAAATTGAGTGAAGTCTGGATCACACTCATACCCTGTTGTTCCACTGTGAGAAGTAGTTGGATGTGAAATGCAAAAATATAGACAATAGAGGTCTGTTGCAATGATATTGGGAAGTATGATTTCCACATTTCATGAGTCAGCATGACTCAAAATATTAAGTTCCCCCCACTTTTCCTCTAACTTTATTTGTTGGCATTTCTTCTTGCTAAAGTTTTTGCAGTTTTTCACACAGGAAGGAGTCAATGTGGTCTTCAGATGTACCTACCTGTCCTCTGATGAAATATGACTGAGGCTCAGCCAGAATATAAAATTCAAAGGAGTTCTTTTGTGATTTGTTTAAGCAGATTTCATTGGAAGGAGAGCCAGGATTAAAATGCCAGGTTATGCTTTACTATTATCACCAAAAATGCCTTAAAGGAGTCCGAGCAAAGGAGGCCAAATGTGTATTTTACAAAGCCAGAAGCAGCTGCAACAGCACTTGGCTGCCATTGTTTTCCAAGATCCATTAAGATCAGTTTACAGGAATACATTGCTGCATAGACATAATTGGTGCCTAATGTTCCAGTCATTTTGTAGATTGAAGTTGCTCCTGACTATGGCAGATACCCCAGAGGCTCTTTTTACAAGCATTAATTGAAGGGAAATGCCACAGAGAGGAACTTCAAGGAAGTGGTTTCTGGTATTTAATCAGTACACTGATCATCATTTGGTTCCAGATAATTCTAAATCAGTATGAAGACAGTGTCCCAACCATGAAGCATTTGTTTTTCTGCCACCTGACATCCGGAAAATTGACTCTCCCTCTTTTCAGTGGGGGTGGGAGAAAAAATGGATACAGCATAGTATTGCGATATTTTGGCTGGTGATATATTGTGTGGTTTCATTGACCAAGTATTGATTTTTTCAAATTAGTTGTTAATATGAAGTCAAATCTATGATGATGGGAAAATAAAATCAACTGTTGGTCCAGTGAGATTTGCAGAGCATCATAGGGCAGGAGAAAGTTCGTACAATATTTATATAAGGTTTGCAGGATGTGCTACATGAAATAAAAAACACAGTCAATAATGCAAACATAAAGGAAAGACAAATGCTAAATTATCTAAACAGTCAGAAAAAATGGTATAAATCACAATATATGGTATTGCAATACTCACTGTATTGTGAAATGTAAAAAATAGCAATAATATCAAATCGTGGCCAAAGTGTCGTGATATCATGTTGTGGGGCTACTAGTGATTCCCACCCCTACTTTTCAAATCCAGACTCAAAACCCACCTGTTCAGATTAGCCCCCTCCTTGTTATTTACCTGTCATATTTTTATGTTTATTTAATTTATTTTGTTATTTTATTTTATCTTTAACTCTACTGCTCTCATCTTGTTGTTTGTGCTGCTCTTCTTACTTTGTAAAGTGACCATGGGTGTTTAGAAAGGCACTAATAAATAAAATGTGTTGTTGTTATTGTTATCATTATTATTATTATTATTATTATTATTTGAGGCAGAAATGTTGGATAAAAAATGGAAATGTAATGCTGCCTGTGAATAGACATCCACAAGAGGAACCTTTTTTTCACCAGTCTGATTCAGTCACTTTCCAGTAAACACTAGAATAAGAGGAAATTAAATGTACCTGAGACGCAGAAAAGCAGGGGTAGTAGGAACATTTGATGAGGTGGAACAGAGTGTGGAGGTGTGAGACAATGACAGCAACAAGCACCAGCAGCAAGCCCCAGACACTCTCTGATAGTACAAATCTGATATTTCACAGTGTTTGATCAGAGCCAGTTTGGTGCTAGTGGCATTTTACATTCTTCATTTATGTTAAAGCAGACCTAGCAAGCTGTCACTCGGGCAGTTTGTTAAAAATTTAAAGTTTTTTTTTTTTTTAGACCAATACTCCTAATCATATTTGATGGTAATATACCTGCATTACATGTTGAGTTTTTCCTCCTCGTGAATTTGTTCATGTAAGCTGTGTCATACTATTTCCTTGACTGTAGTCTTTGTTCATGCACTCATTGTGTCTTCTTTTAGCAAATGTCACTCTCTGTACTATTGTTTGCTGGTTTTCCTTGTCATCTATATAGCTCTAATGGACAGCAGGCTGGTATTAAGTGCAGCTTCTGGTTTTCAGCCACTAGTTTCAGTAAAACTCTATCAAGTGTTCGTCATCCTGTCCTATGACTGTTTTGCAGACATGACAAAGCTGGGTGGATGAGACAGCCTGAAGTGTTTGTGTCACAGGATGTGACCATTTTAAAGTTTGGTGATATGTGAGCAGCAGAGGCTACAGTTATGAACAAGGATACAACAGAAGACTTCATACAACTCCAGAAGCATAGGGATGATTGGAAATGTGCTTTGGCACAAAGCCACAATTTACAGAGTGATATTCAACATGATAACTTAAGAAACTGAGTAGAAGTCAACTTCTAAAGACGTCTATTCTCTTAAAGTAGTCTTAAATGTTTTGAACCATTGTCTGCTCTTCTTCCGTCTCCAGCTACTACCCTTTTCTACCTCAGTCTCTGAGGATGTTTGACTCACCATTACTCAGATGTGATTTCAGATATGACAGTAGTTTGGTGTTTGCACAGGAACCAGTCTAAACTCCTGAACTTGTTCCCAAGTTAGTCTTCATTTATAGAACCTCCATGCAGGGTCAGGGGGAGCTTGGTCACTGTAAGGTTATCCCAGGCTCCAGCACCATCATGTGTGAGTGATGCTCACATCCTGCTTTACTTGATCACACACACCCACTTCAAGCACATGGAAAATAATAATGTGATTATTTTAATGTGATTCTGATCTCTGAGTAGTTAGTTAAAATGGAAAACGGTTGCACAACCACAAGTGATTTCTCCATAGCACCCTATGGACACAATGTGCAGGATCCTGTTTTTAAGTCTGGTCATGTGACTGAGGCTGAATCTGAAGGCTTCAGAGGCCACACCCACTCTGAGAAACCCATCAAAATTAAAAGTTGATCATATTTACAGCCTGGTACAAAAAGCAGTTTTTCTGAATGGTGTATTTTTCTATTTCCACACAATGTAGGGAAGTACATTTTCATAATGCGTCATTAATTTTACTTATGAGTTTGGCACCACTTGAGGTATGGCTGGTTAGACTGACAGGTAGGCACACTGTAGCTGTTAGCAAGGAGGCAAAAGGTCTGCCTCAAGTCTGCTTCTCAGCCTCTTGTTGTTCAAATGATAGTTGAGTCAGCATTGCAGATATAGCTTCAGAATTTCTCTCAGGAACCAAGGAGTTAACTGAATCAAATGTTTGTCTGGGTCTAAAACTCAGACAGTCACAAAAAGGTCTGTATTATTATTATTATTATTATTATTATTTGTGTGTGTGCTTCAGTGAGTGCCTCATTCCTGTGAATGTGGTTCAGATGGGAAGTCACCTAAATACTCAATGGCTTTAGACAGTTGTTTGCCTCATTGAATGAACTGAATTAGCAATAGTCATCATTACTATAAACAAAGGTAGTGTTCTTTTCCTCATTGACACATGCTGTTTTTGAAACCTTAGGTTGCCCCTCATTTCTTTTTCTTTTTTACATTTCCTTCTGCCATTGGCAAATAAAAGACCACATTGGCATCAAAACTTGGCCATTTCACTATGGTGCATAAATAGTAGTAGTCAAAGTATTTATAAAGGGTAATGTAAAGACTCCCCAAGAATCAAAACCCCAATCTGTAAACACCACAAACTCGAGTCTGCACACTTGTAGTTCACTATCAAAGCCCTCATGAAACCCAAACTCTACCCACTTATCTCTCCTTGCCCAGTAGACAGACTTCAGTTCTAGCCAGATTGTGTATTTGAAGGATTACTGACTGATTAATAATGAAGAAAAGACTGATGACTTTGCTTAAGAATTGTTTGATCACAAAAATACATTTTTAGTCTGTATGGAAAAAAAATGGACATAATGTTCCCAAAGCAAACAGAGCAACTGTAACAGAAACACACTGTGGGCATGTGCACACTTGTGTAGATGTGTTAATGTAAAAGTAGAACACTGGAAAGGTTGGATCCGACCATCACAAAAAGTGATTTTCAATGCCAGATGGGATCATATTCCACCAAATAAATCTGAGATGTCGTTCTCTGATGTTTACGATGAACTCTGTGTGTTTAAATTAGAAGCCGTGAGCCCTGGTAGCCGTTGTGTTTATTTAAGATACTCTGCATTAATCTCAGCGTATGATTGGACGATAGTCTTCAGCCAACAGTGAATATAAACGCCACAGTGCAAATTAAGTGTGATACGGTTAAGTTTTGGTGTCTTTCCACTACTTTTAACCTGCTTTGATGTCAGCAGAGTACAGAACTTTATTAATTAATCCACATTCAGGAAACTAGTGCTATTAACTGTAAAATAAGAACTTTCTCTGAGTGATCACCCCTCAGTATAGGTATAATAAATATACAATTTTTCTATTGTAACACTTTTCAGTCTCCCCATTTAAACAGGTGTGCTGTGAAAAGGAGAAGCAGTTATCCGTGAACTACAGAGCATACACTTTGCTTGTGTAAACACAAGATAGTAACTGAGTAGCATTCAAGGGCTACATGCTACCTATCGCTATCACCGGCCAAACTAAACTGTTTCGCTCCATAGTGTTGGGTACTGTTATGGGGGTTTTGTTGGTTGGTTGGTTGTTTGCTGCAAATTATTCAGTTTAATTCTGAAAACACAGACGGGGGCTGAACTAGAGACAAGACTTCACTGTTTGTTGTTGGAGTGATCCACTGATGGTTTGCCACTTCGCAAACAAACTAAACCCAGTGCTGGGAAGGAAGCCTTTTATTAATTGTTCCCATGCTACATTGTTTGTTGAATAGCTACTCTGGATTTAATTATTACCAAGATAATACATTAAATTCATTAATAAACCTTGCTCTACTTGCTATATAATACAATTAACACATAATTGATCCTGATACTGATTGTAATCAATGTAACGATGCAAGTCTTGGCAAGGTGGAGCAGTGGAAAGACAAGTAACAGACGGTGTCAGATAGCTCTTGTCATATTTCAGTCCACAGATTCTTTGATACAGGTTGCAGAAAAAGATGCAACTGGAGGTAAAATGTGGATAATGTAGTTCACCAAAAAAAAAAAAGATGTCTTTTCTCTGTGAATCAGAAATTGTGCTATTATAGAATATAACTAGTGCTATTATTGTATTTTTTTTTTATCTTGGTTAATTTCCTGATGTTTTAATTTCTTTTGTAGACTGTATAGATGCATCAGCATGAATTTGTATTAATAACTGTATCATTTATTTATCTTTCAGTATGTACAAATACTCGTCTTGTTTTACTTGGCCTTTAAATGGAAATTGCCAACCTAGAGTCTAAAGAACCAAAAGTGTGAGCAGGCACGCAAAAAGCCCTATTGTGTTCTTGCTGAACTGTAACTCTAATGGTTATCTATTCTGACTCAAATGACAGTATACATATAGTGTATGATTAACCTTGTTTCCTGAAGTATGTTCTATATGTCTCTGCTCATCAGCTCACACTATGAGTCATGTGTCAGGATTTAACTTGGCACGTCAATCTAATGCATTGGCTCCTGTCACACACAAGCACACAAGCACTCACACATCTTTATGTTTAGATTACAGTGAGTGTTAGTGGACGAGTCACACCAAAGAGAGAGGTGATCTTTAGCATGCAGGGTCGCACTGAGAAGTATTTGTTGATAATTAGAAATTCCATTCTATTTAAAGTTGTGTTGCGGGTTTATTATCAGCCACTGGAACTTTTCTTTCTGAGACTGATGATTTATTTTGAAGACCATAAGTTCAACAGGTTTTTTGAAGAGATAACTTGGGCTGTGCTGGGTTGTGTTTGCTACACCATCTTTCTGCCAGATAAGCCAGGAACCAGTATTGAGCCGTCAGGTTGTTATCCGTGTTGTGAGAGTTGAATATTAAAAATTCAGTCCAGCCCTGTGGTGTTCCAAATGTAGTTTAATGAAGTATGAAACCATTGGAACCATTCTGAAAAGCCAAAGAAATGATGGGCTGAGCTCATTTATCTGTGACTATCTGCCTTGCCTAAAGTGGGACGTCAGGCTCTTTGAGAATACTGGTGTTGACTTTCAGTATTCGGTATTTGGCAGACTCCAGCCTGGACAGCACCTTTCTCTGCTGAGGCCTTCAGGCTATTTCTGGTGCCCTCTCTTCACACCATGTTACTATTAGACCTGCGTTCCTTCATGCCAAAAACTCCTTGAATTCTTGTGACCGGGGTCAGCTACTGCTCAAAAATTATCACTTTGATGGTCATTTTCCATGCAGTTGCTTGGTGGACTATGAATGCAACAAATAGTGACATGGATATGAAGAATGCTAATGCAGCACAGTTCACAAACAGAGACAGGTCTTTATATATCCTTGAAATGGGAAATAAAACCTGCCAAAATAGCAACTTTACACCAAAGATGAAGTGAAACAACATCTGAATCAGAGAAAATTCTTCAAAAACAAAGTGTTGGCAAACCAGAATAAGTGAGTAATGATTTTGCGAAGTTTGTCTTATATTCATTTGCATCTGCATTTGGCAGAATTTCAAGTCAACTTTGCCTGTTTTTCCGTTGATAAGAACAGCGGGCACACTTTTTGGTCCAGTTAAGGCTCCCTCAGATAAATACTGGTCTACACATTTTTAGTGATGTCTAGCCCAAAACTGCACTGCTCTGATACTGCTTTTGGCCGTGTCATTGAAACTCTGCTCATTTTTTGAAATTCTTTTAAAGTTAAGACTAGAGGGGTATCTGGACATATCCAGGCTTAGTCTGAGTGAGCTATCTCAACAAGGTGTAACAAAGCACCCTTTACGAGACAACAGGGACCACAAAGCTGGTTATGAACTTTCTTTGTGAAAGGGATATTTCAGTATTTTTAAAGTGGGGTTGTATGAGTTACATTTCACTAGTATTTGTATTAGACACAATGGATGCTGCCCTTTTACTGAGAAACTGCCAGGACAACCAGCAAGCTAGCTAGGTTAACAGTTCTCTGCAGGGGAGGGTCAACACTCCCATGTAAATTGGCTAATTTTGAAGATGCTTCATCTAGGTTTAGGTGTACATTCATCAAAGGTCATCTAATGTGCCAGATAACCTTATATAATGTGTTAGATGACCATATATATATATATATATATATATATATATAGAGGGAGAGGATATTCTATAGGTCTAAGGGCTCCCATGGTGTGATAAATGCAGTGTTACCATAATTGCATGGTTATGTCCTGTTTTAAAAAATGTGACGTAAATGTTCAGAAGTTCAGTCAGGAGTCATCAGCAGATGATGTTACCACTTGCAGGAGTCTTTCAACATTATTAGTGAAATGACGACACTTTACAGTCAGTTTCAAGCCAAACCCCTGAACAAAACCTGGTCCCAACCAGGTTGTTAGTAGATAGTAAGTTACCATAGTGATGTAGAAAACATTGGGTTCAGACTCAACTGACTCAGTCCTACCCTCTAATCTGTCTTTGTGGTACACCCCAGGCATCAGCTAGTTGGAGTTTCAATCTCCATTTGAATGACTAGGAAACTATTCACTTTGGATCATCCTCGACCACAGACCCCCATTTCAGCAAAAACTCAGTCTTTATCCAGAGCCTGATGTAGCCTTAGTAGGGGACATTTTCTAAGGGACACTTGTCTGCTAACACAAACACTCACAGAAACGCTCACAGCATATGAAACTCTGTCGGCTTGACATACCCTGTACTTTTAACAGCTTTGATGCTTCATAAGGTTTTTTGCAGCCAAGAGTGTGTGGACCCATGATTGCACCTCCATCTGTATGTTTTTACAGTGTATTTAATAGAGAGATTGATCATGACTGGAGCACTTGTAAGCTTGATAATAGAAAAAGCAGAATGTGCAACCAGTGCAGCCTAATTATTTGTTTTGGAATAGGAGAACATGAGAAGACCTTTACTGATCCGTGGAAGGAAATTCAATACCAGCCTTAATATTTTGGAGTGATGTAACTTATCAAGTTATATGGTACATAAAGCAATCACAGGTGACTACAGTATGAATGATACATTTGTGTGTGCAAACGCTTATGTTAACTCTTTTTTAAGGAAGAGTTCATAGTTCACCACTGTGACTTTTAATTGCAATTTGAGAATAATAAAAGATTCTAACTAAAAAGGTGCCAAGTTACCCAACAAAGCCAAGTCTTAGAAATCCCTTCCCTCTGTACGACAAGAAGCTCAAGCAGAGCAAACGCTAGAGTACACAGGTCATGTTTAGCTTTGACTCAGTAAGTGCATTCAGAAACTATTCAGACAGTCCATTGTTGATTAACTTAAGCTTACCTTTAACCATTTTGGTGTTGTATAATCTTTAAGTGAATATGTCAGGCAGTTTGCATATTAACACAGCACAGTGAAAGGTGATAAGGTGACCCCCATCTTATCCAAACATTGTGTGATTATTAACCAAACCCAGACATGGGTTTAAAAGAAGCTTTCCACATCAGTGTCCAGACAACAGCTGGCAGTTATAGATTTTTCTTGTTTAAAGCGTTTGAACCTCTTGGGTATTACTGAGCAAAAAACAAATGGTGTGTTTTTGTATTTAATGAAGCTTGTTTCACTAATGTTCTTTTATATTAATAAGCATTACCAAGCTTACTCTTGTAAACAGCAGTAGGTAATCTGACAAGTGTGCAAAAGGGATATGTGCGCATGGTTTGCTGTCAGGTTTGAAAACATGGTTGAGATGGGAGTTTGCCAGAATGGTGTGTACTCTGCTTGTGTTTTCCTTCTCTCTTCTGCTCCAGCTCAGTATACACATAGTATTTAAATGCATCTTCTTTTGATTTCATTAGAGGTGGTTCAGCTCAGAAAACCATTCCAGCTCAGGACTCAGGTTACCAAGGTTCTCTGAGTGGAGACAGCAATCCTCCATAATCTTCCCGTCTACCACCATGATTAAGTGAAAGTACCTCTTCATTTCAGGTTTTTATACACAAAGTGTGAGAAAATGAGCCAAGCCATTAACAAAAAATTGAATATCAGGTACATTTAATGTGTGAAAAGGATTCTTTCATGAGCAAAGATAAGATCATGATGGATACTAATACTTACAATAAAGTTTTCTTCTTTCTGACGTTTATTAGTGTTGCAATCTTCAGGGAAATGGGTGAGCTCTCAGTTGGCAGCACACTGCTAAGAAAAAGAGCAGCGAGAACTGTGATGCCTAATTGAATGTTAAGATGATCCTTCCTGAATGATTTGAGCTGAAGTACATGCAGCAGCATGCCTGCAAACCAAAGAACAGCTCCAACAAAAACTTTCCCTCAGGCGAAAAACAATGTAATGGGCTAAACAAACGTCTATAAACAACTGTAAGACAGACCCCTGCTGCCTCTGTTTGAGGAGAAGCTCTGCAACTCTGCATGTATCATCTAGTAAATGCAGCAATTTCTGATATTTTACCTCTGCAAGATGTTTGTTTTATGTCCACATTTTTTTTAGATTGATATAAAACCCTATGTCTTCTTTTTATTCAGGCGGTGCCTTTTGGTGTTTCATTGTCAATCAGGATGTTTCCATCCATTCTAGAAACCAGGCACTCGGTGGTTTCCAGCAATAATTAGATTTCTTTAATTTTACATAAATGAGAAATCAGGTTTTCTGTAATTAAGTAAACTTCATTTTCTCAGCAGGAATCCTGCAGAGAAAACCTGACTTCTTGGTCATGTACTGTTGGTTTCTTAGCTTATTTCAGGACAATTTAATGACAATGGACAAATTAAAAAACACAAGCACTAATACAGAGGCCAGTGTTTAAGATAATGATAAATTTGAATGCTGATTCTGATGCGAGTGTAAAGTAGATGATTTTGTTGAAATTGTTGCCAGCAGTCCCTTTCAGTCTCTTTCTCAAGTTCCCCATAAAACATCTGTGTGACGTGACTCGAAAAGACCATATCCCTGAGCTTTGTCAGACACACGTAATACTCCTACACTGTAGTTCGACCATGAAGACAAATCAGAATTTTCTTCTGCCACAACTTCTCGTGTCAAACCTAGTCTTTGAAGCAGCAGTCAGGTAGAATAAACACCAGAAGACATTTTGACTATAATTATTAGGTATTTGAGTTATTGTTGCTTAGACTTTGCTTTCTTAAAAGTAACCTCCTCTGGCTTTAACAACAGCTTGGCATACACGAGGCATTCGAGGCAAGGTATGTTCCAGGGATTGCATTCCAAGCTTTCTTAAGTTCATTAAAAAGAGACCTCTGGTTCGTGGGATGCGTTTTTCTGACCAATCAATCCAATTCATCCCGCACAAGCTCTATTGGAGAAAGGTCTGGAGACTGAGGGGGCCAAACCATCTTTTGAAAAACACCTTCCTCTTTTTTTTTTTGTCTAGGTAACCCTGACAGAGCTTGGCAGAGTGCTTAGGGTCATTGTCTTGCTGCTAAACAAACTTAGGAGCCACCAGTCTTAGTCCAGATGGAACAGCATGGTGCTGGAGGATGGAGTGGTACTGTTGCTTCTTCATGATACCCTCTACGTCAAACAAATCTTCTACTCCATCACCTGCAAAACATCCCCATACCATGGAACTACCACCTCCATGCTGAATTGTGGGTGTAACAGATGGTGCTTTCAGACGTTCACCAGTTTGTCTGCAGACATAGACTCTGCGTTTTGAACCAAACAGTACAAACTTGTTTCTCGTCATCATAAGTCAAATTTTTGTGAGCTTTTGCCCACTCATATCTCTTTTTCTTGTTTTGTGGACAAAGTAGTGTTTTTTTGCAGATACACAACTCTTCAGACCAGCCTTTCTCAAACGTCATTTCATGGTTGTCAGAGATATGGGTTTCGACCTTGTCATGTTGATTTCCTCCCTTATTTGTGGTGCTGTCTTTCGCCAATCTCTCTTACTGATGACAATGCTATGTTTATCCTCTGCTTTTGTAGTAACTCTCTTTCGTCCAGGTCTTTTTCTATCATCATGACTTCCAGGTTCCTCTCGTCTCTTAAGGATGTAGTGGACTCCTGTGTTAAACACCTTTAGGCGTTTTGCAATTTCTCTTTCTGTGTACCCTTCTTTCCTCAAAGTACAAATCTGTACTTTTGTTTCTTTACTCAGTTGCTTCTTTTTAGCCATTTTTGCGGTAGTTTGAATGCAGTTGAGATTTATTAGGATTTTTGTATGCAGACTCTCAAAAGCCAAAAAGTTTAAGTGAATAATCCAACTGTGATTTGTTTTTTTGCTTTTGCACTGAAGTTGTGACTCTTGCAAATGTTTTCAACCCTAAAACTAAGCCCTCATTATCTTTTGCTGACATTTGTTTAGCAATGGTCTGTTAACATCAATGTAAAGGTAAGTGGAGTAAAATGGTGCATTTCCATGAAAGCAACATCTGATCATGGAGTAAATACATCCCAAAATACATAAAACTCATGCTGGATTTTAAAAAAAGCATTGTGAACAAAAACTTGAAGTTACTCCCAACTGTTCGGCCTGTAATGGTCATGCTTCCAAACTTTTGTCCTGTAGTGTACTTATGGAGTTATTTATTGAAAAGTTGATACAAAACAAGAACTTTATTGATTCCCTAATAGAAATTCACTATTGTTATAATTCATGATGGCTTAACTGTCAAAAAAAGAAGAATTCCTTTAGACATTTGTTTTGATGGAGATGCATACAATTGTATTCAATGGTATTCAGGAACAGTCTGAATCATAGGGGTGGGAGAAAAAATTGATACAGCATAGTATCACGACATTTTCTCTGGTGATATTATATCGTCTTATTTACCAAGTATCTATTTTTTTTCAAATTAATTGTTCGTATGAAGTCAAATCTATGATAATGGAAAAATAAAATCAACTGTTTGTCCAGTGAGGTTGGCAGAGGTGATATCATAGAGCAGGAGAAAGTTAGTACAACAAATATATATATATATAAGGTTTGCAAGATGTGCTACATGAAATAAAATACAGTGTAAATAAGACAAACATAAAGGAAAGACAAATATAAAGGAGAGACAAATGCTAAATTAGCTAAACAGTTGAACGATTGTATGAATCCTAATGTATGGTATCGCAATACTCATTGTATTGTATCGTGATAATATCATATCGTGGGGCTACTGGTGATTTCCACCCCTACTGAATTATATGGCTCAAACTGAGACTGTCCTGTCAGCTGCGTACCGCCTTAATGTCATCCTAGCAGCTATTGCATTCACTGTATCTGGTCCATTTTATACCTGTTCGGCTTAAACCCAAGACTGGCCTTTAATTTAACACACTGCTCATTTTTCTCTGTAGTTGTTTTGTACCTAAAGGTTCAAGTAATAATGACAAATGACATTATATTTTTGCACAACTAGAAATGACATCAAATGATGTCTAATATGTCTGACTAGTAATCAAACACCCTAGATACTTAGTTTACTGTCGTGTCTGAGCACAATAAGCATCAGATGAAACGAAGTGTGAGCATGTACGCTGACATGTCTTCTAATATCAACAAACTAGCAGCAGAGAAAAATCTTGATCCAACAGTCCTTTAATCTAGTGCTGGAGAATTTGTTATAACTTCGTTTTTAGATTTGGATCAGTTCACTTGCACTTTCAGTTCCACACTGCTGCTTTCACATGCAGCTCTTTCATTAGACGCTGAAAGTTCAGGCGCCTTTAAAGGAGTTCAGTAACAGGCTGTTATAAGAGCTTCTGCAGCTGATATTTATTCTGTCCCTTTGTTCAGCTCAAACATTGTTTAGCTGTTGACTCACAAGTTGTTTCATGTGTTTTCAGGTTCAGTCTACACACCCCTCCCTCTCATCGTTTGCCCATCCTGATCCTTTTTCCCTGTTGGCTGCTGTTCCCCAGAGGGCGGGGCTAGTATGGGGTAAGAGAGCTGAGAGGAGACATCAAAACGACTCAAGCTTCGGAGGCCTTCTAACCTGCACAGGTATGATAGTACATCGTGTACCCTCAGGTCCACAAAAACACTGTTTTGAATGCAGCATAGGATAGGGTGAAACGTGTTTTTTTTCAATACTTTAAAGTCAAACACACAAAGATAATGTCAAATATTACGGGATGGAATAAATGCGTCTTTAGGTACAAATCCTAAAGTAACCTGTAATCACATTAACTTGTAAGTTCCGACATTAGTCGTGTTTTCAAGCCATAAATCACTTGGATCTATCTTGTTCTACAAAAAAAAAACCTTCAACTGTCTCTTACCATTGTTGGCTGCTGTCTTACACCCATCCCCCACGCAGGTGAGACACCACACCCCACTGAACCTTTTATCAGGTGTACACCACATTTGGTCAAACACAGCTGGGCATTGTCTAAAAGATTAGTGCCAGATGTTATAAGTGAGTCACAGTCCTGCTAAGAATTCAGAAAACCTAACCTTTTGTTGCCAGGATCCAACCTGTGTTGGTTATGAACCGTTTTATTAAAAGGTTTTCATAAGCCCAAAATTGTCATTTGAAAGGATTTTTCATTGTCTGCTTTTATTGAATTTTCTGAAATGTTTTATGTGAAATATCCTAACCCTAATGTTGATCCAAGATCCCTCATACTCAGGTTGTGATCACAGTTGAAAGGGGGGAAAGACTGATTAAACCATCACAGCTCTTGATAACTTCTGTTAGTCACTGTTAGATCTTTTGACAGTTTTCCCTGACGCAGCCTACAGCAAGTTACTCAAAACAGGCAAAGATTACATACAAAGATCAATAATAGTAATTGTTTAAACAAGCCACTACTTACAGTAAAAGGCCTTTGAGGAGATGATCATTTGAAATCGGACTAGTGCATCTCATTGCAGTGTGCACTTTCTGATTCTTTGTCAGGCTTATCGTTTCTTTTCTAAAACGTGAGTTGTGGGGGCATACAGGTGCACGTACGATATCTAAAGAGGTCACAGTGTTGCTTTCTGCAGAGCTGATGCTACAGGAAATTGCCAGACCACAAACGAGTGCAAAAAAAATACTGCTGGTTCCACAATAATGCTAGACTAGACCTCAATTTATGGCTGCACACAGGGTAGAAGCTGCGGCTCTGACTGGTGTTATAGATTGCCATTAGCATGCTTTACTGCTCGTCAATCAAACAATTAGTGTCCAGACAGTAAAAAGTCAGTTAACAGGATACAAAGATGTTCCCTTGAGCAGATGCAGCACTCTCTTCTCCATCCCGTGATGGCCTTTTATGAGCTTTTTGTACCAGCAGAAGTTGAAGCATTTCCTTGCAGCCACTTTTAGATCTGTGTGTCTTGTCTTGTCTTGTGTGTGTGTGTGTGTGTGTGTGTGTGTGTGTGTGTGTGTGTGTGTGTGTGTGTGTGTGTGTGTGTGTGTGTGTGTGTGTGTGTGTGTGTGTGTGTGTGTCCAAGTCAACCACAGCTGCATCGAGATTAAGAAGTGGAGTTTGCGTTTACCTATAGGCGTTCTCACACCACTTTGGTTAGTCAGACATCCTGAGGCATCAGCCTAGTTAATATGCTGTTTAGCTTCCTTCTTTAGAACCTCCTCCCCCACCCACATGTTTCCCAGAAGTCCCCTCATCTGTATGGAGATTCAAAGGATGGGAAAGAGTAATAATCCATGAGAAAAGGAAAGAAAGGAGGGGCTAAAGTGAGAAAGCTTAGTCTGTGTTCATCTTGACCCCCGATGTTATGGTGACATACCTTCAGGAGTGTGCAGCGTCATCCTGTGGGTTCTTGTTGTCATGTGAATGAAGGCCAAATTTGACAAAAAGAAAGAAGAAATCAAGAAGGAGAAGGTGGTGGAGGTAACGGAAACAGTTTGGGTAAATAAGGGCTTGGGAGTTGGAAAGAGCAAACAGTGGCAGAGCAGAGTTGTTGCTAGGAGGCTGACAGAGCAACATGACACAGACCACAGAGACAGGAAGCACATAGATAATGGTTCAGACTCAGAGGAAGATAAATCTATTGGGTTTGTTTGTTCACCATTTGAGTTCTTGGATTTAGCTTAATCAACTTCAAACTGTCGAGGCACCACACTTAATTTTATTTTTTTATATTTATCTGACCTAGAGGATGAATAATCTCTGAAAGCTACTATTCAAAAAGTAGACCAACTATCTCTGTTTCTAGCTCTCATTGAAGGATACCTGTTTAGTACTTTAAGATGATCAACTGAATAATATTGGGGATTTCAACAGTTTATTGGCTAAAGGAGAAAGTTGAAGTCATTTTCTCTGACTTCTGAGAATTTGTGATGGCTACTGTGACTACTTTTAAATGTATTGAACACTAAATGGTTAATGGATTTATCAAGCATATGTGTTATGATTTTCTTCACTTTCTTTAAACGAATATGGTAAACAGGGCAAATATTGAACTTGATCAAGACCAGTCAGTTCGCTTGAAAATCAGTGCATCTTTTTTTTTTCAAGCCAGGGCATCAGTATAAGCATGACTTGCATTTTTCTTTTTCTTCTTTTTTTGGACAGTATTTAACAGAAAGGGTTGAGGGGTAAAAACATACGGTATCCAAATGACAGTAATTTTTCACAGATGTTGAGACTTTGGGCTTTCCGAGTTCACTCCTCCAGTTTGTTAGCTCAGCTTTAGAGCAAAATCTGTACACTTGTCACTTTTTAAAGAAGCTTTTCTCCTCTTCTGTTCATTGCTTTAGTATGTATTTGTGTTTCATGTACATGTACAGCTAAGGAATGAAAAAGGTCAAATGGAGCATCTTTGCAGCACTCAGGCTTTGAGTATGTAGTCGACAGTATGGCTGGGAATCTTGGTTTATAACTCCTCCTCCCTCCCTCTCTTCCCTTGTTTTTCATCATCTTTCAACTGCAGGCAATTCCAGTGAGCAATAAGTTATTTTTAATAATTGTGGATAATTTTGATTGTGGTCACATCTAGTCAGGAAAAGGTTTCCAAGTCTTAATTGAAACCCCCTGCAGCTCAACCAGATTTATTTTCAGGACAAAAAAAGGAGATAACTCCAAAGAATAAGAGGCCCACAAAGTAGGATGTTACAAGTGGAGTGCAGTGATTTTTGGTCAAACAAAAGGAGAAAGCTTGGCAAAGAAATATTTGAGGTGAAGATTTGTTAGCCTGCCAAAGTCGAATCCTGAGTCAGTGACACGCCTCCTTAAAGGCTGTGTTGTTTGAATTTGTTTAGTTTTGCAAAGCAGGATCAACTCTGTACTGATAATACCTTTTTAGATAACAGTCCTCAACTATCCTTTTATTGTAATTAACCATCAAACCTAAACACCAACATCCCTTCACAAGGATTCATGGTGGTATACTTATATTTGAAGGCAGGCTGGATGGCTGTCATTCATGGTTCTCAAACAGACGTATGCCTAGTTACAGGATAACCATGAAGCATGACCTCAGGTAAACCGTTTTTAATCATGGATAATTGTCTAATGAGTTTATTATATTTAGTTTGGATTATCTCCAGGACTGCCAGTCTTTGCATGTGTGCTGCTCTATGATGGTCATAACTGCCAGTCTAGATATGTATGAACACACACACAAAAATGCACGCACACCCCGCCTTAGCTCAAATGGCATTCACTGGTTGTTGATTTGTAGAGCTTGCAGGATTGTTCTTGTGGTAAATGTTAGTCTGTTGGTAAGAAGGCTATAGAGGAAAGACTTGGTAATCTTAATGTGTGTTTAACAGGTGTCAGCCTGTTAAACACACATTAGCACATTAGCAAACTCTATTCTTGTGTGGTGTAAGCGAGAGATACAAACCGAAAGTATGCTGTGCCTGATTCCCGACTGGAGAATAAAATGATTTTATGAATTGGGGAAAAAAGTCAGAGGGACTCATCTGCTTTAGTTAGAGTGAAGCTCAAGGATGATGTATTAATTGTAGCTGAGTAAGGTAGCGTCATTGTATTCTCAACCATTACCTTCTAAATACGTTTCTGTTCCATGATACACTTTGTTAACCGAGTTGAACTTTGACCTGTTGTTGAATCAACAGAAATGACGCCTTGCAGAGATCAATGACATTGATGTTCTGCTCATGTGTCTTTGCAGCTACAACTTTCTGTGATTTAAGCCACCGTTCTCGTCTAAAAACTTCATCCCTTAAAAAGCTTCAAAAAGCTTTAGACTGACAAAGACAGCAGAATGTCTTGAGTTTGAATTTCATCTCCTCTGAAGTCTACAATCTAATCTTTACCAGATCAGTTCTCCTGTTGCATCATTTTTCAAATCCCCCTGCAGCCTGCTCATTTTCATATGACTAAACGTCACAGTGGTCTTGTGGTTAAAATTCTTTTGTCTCTTTCCTTTTCTGCTTGTTCCTTCTTATCAAAGAGAGATGCAGTGGAACAACACACTTAGCTGTTGTCACCCATAAAAGCAGTGATGATGATGACGATTATGATTTCCCTGAAATGGAAAGCACAAGATCATTTCCCTGAAAAATCAATTGCTGTTTCCATCAAGACTGACCACGCTCTTAAAGGCCAAGTAGCATCAAAAGCTCGATTAGAGTCATGCTGTAGTCAATCCACCACTTTGACTGAAACAGTAAGGTAAACAGAAACGGCTGTTTATGATGTGAGAACATGGTGTGCATGGGGACAACTTCACAGGTGCTTTCAGGTTCTTCCAGGGATGTAACGATATGAAAATTTAGCACCACGATTATTGTGACCAAAATTATCACGGTTATCAATATTATCATGGTATAGTTGAAGTATGTTCAAAATGTTTAAAATGCACTTATACACGCCCTGAAATCATTTAACAAAATTTTATTTAAAAAAAAACAATCATAATAACTTTTCCTTAACCTTAAATAACAGAGGAACGATAAGCTTAAAAAATTAAAGATGGGGCCTCAGTGATCAAAAAGATCTACTCTTACAAATATAAAACAGAGCAACACTACAATACAGTACAACCACATGCAAACAAATGTGTAGTGCAGGTGTTTAAAACAACATAAAGTATGTAAACAAATCAAATGACCCACACCAATTGTCGGTTTTCTCCACCATAAGGTGCTGCTGCTGACTTTGTTCACTACTTGAGATTGAAATGTAGAAATTTCTGCATATTTACTTGGTCTGGTTTGAGTAGTGATCTGCAAGGGGAAACAATGTGCCCGCTGGCACTGAATAGCCTCTCGGATGGCACGCTGGTTGCTGGGATGCACAAAAACTTCCCGGCAACCCTTTGTAGAAGCCCAAATACACCCAGACTTCGGACTTTGTTTTCTTTGACAGCGGAAAAATCTCTGCAACACGGTCGGCAGAACTGCCCGCAAAACTGCCCTCCGCCATGTTTACAAGATGTATACTGCACAATGCGAATGCGCGCGGCGCGCCTGTGTCCGGACTGCTGTGTGCAGCTGCTCTTCTCAGCACTGAGCAGTCTGTGAACTTTTCCAGAGTGCAGCAATCAAACATGATTTTAACGGTAATTAAAAATTGAAATGGTAGTACTAGCTGTCAGACATTTTACCGCGGCTTATCATTTTACCTGTAATCATTACATCCCTAGGTTTTTCCTTAGCTGCCAACGCGCGAAGTATGCAAAAATATGCAGCAATGCATCCTGGTTCATGTGTAACCTTGTGAAGTCAGCTCTGTAGACCAGTGCAGTGCACACACTAACAGAAAGGAGGATACCGAAGCCTTGGATACTCGTATAGCTATAAAGGATTGGTCTTCATGCGGCACAGTATGGACCCTTTGCTCCATGTCTATTAAATTGACTTATTATCCATCAGGCAGGGATTAGATAGCAGCCCCTTCAGACGGTCTGTCGTTTCAGACACTGTATGCATAACATTTTTCACAAGGAGCACATGTGCCCCTAAATTGAAAAATTAAGGAGCACACAAAGAACTTTTGGGGCACAATGAAAATCAATCAAAGAATGTTTGTTTTACTGGTCGACATAAGTACTATTATTTGAAATCAATTTTAGGACTTTTGGTCACATGACATGGAAGCTATTGAAGGAAAACAGCCTCTTCTGAGAACATCAACTGGTCATTTATTGATGGTCTCTTATTTAACACCCGACTTTGACAGCGAGGATGCCTAGTAGATTTAACTGCGCTGCTGTTGCTATTCCCAGTTATGGAGAGTGAGAAGACGCCTTTAGATCTGCAGTAAATGTCCGTCGAATATCCAACCCAAAATTAATTTCACTGTATTTACATGAAAACACATTTGTTTCTTCGGCTAATTGTTTTGATGCGCACGTGCCCCCAAATACATTTCACAATTTGCAGACATTCATTTTCTAGTCGCAAATGCGAAATTTTAGCGAAATGGTCGCACTGTCAAGCCCTGCATGTTTTCCCCTCTCTAACTGCTTTGCTTTCTTTTCCCTTTAGGTGGTTACGGGTGCAGGACACTGTCATGGCGCTGCTGCGGAGGAGGCTGAAGCTTGTGGTGACAGTGACAATGGTTAACCTCTTCATCTTCATCCTCATCTCCCGACACAGCAGCCAAGAGAAAAACGGGCATCAGAAGGTCAACATCCCATCCAAACCTTTCTGGGCCAAAGTGACACCAAGCCCTGCTTACTGGAACCGCCAGCAGCAGATTCTTGACCTTCAGAACAATCCCGTCCTCACGGCCAACTTGAGCAATGGAGAGGCGCCTGATTGGCTCAATGACACCAGTGTGACCTCTAACCCCTGCAAACCCAACTTCAGGGTTACTACTCAGGTGAAAGACTACAACTCCTTGCCGGACCGCTTCAAGGACTTCTTACTGTACATGCAGTGCCGCTCCTATCCACTGATGGTGGACCAGCCTGATATCTGTAAGGAGCCACCATTCCTGCTCCTGGCAGTCAAATCCCTGGTACCACATTTCGACCGTCGACAGGCAATCCGTGAGTCTTGGGGACGGGCAGGTGTCATAGCCAATCAGACAGTGGTTACCATTTTCCTTCTTGGCAACGCCACAGCCGGGGACCACCACCCAGATCTCTCTGGGATGCTTAAGTATGAGAGTGTTGCCTACAAAGACATCATCCAGTGGGATTACAGAGACTCGTTCTTCAACTTGACTGTCAAAGAAGTCCTGTTCCTGGAGTGGATCCAGACTCGGTGTTCCGGTGCTCGCTTCATCTTCAAAGGTGATGACGATGTCTTCGTCAACACCTACCGCATCTTGGACTTCCTAAAGGGCCTCTCCGCACCCAAAGCCAGGGACCTGTTCGTGGGTGACGTAATCACCAACGCAGGACCTCACAGAGACAAAAAGGTCAAATATTTCATCCCAGAGAGCATGTATGCGGGAACGTACCCTCCATACGCAGGAGGGGGTGGGTACCTTTACTCTGGTGACATAGCTGCTCGTCTGCACAATGTGTCTCAACATGTGGCCCTTTACCCCATAGATGATGTTTACACAGGGATGTGTCTCAGGAAGCTCGGGCTGGCTCCCGAAAAGCACAAAGGCTTCAGGACCTTTAACATTGAGGAGAAATACAGGTCGAATCCCTGTGCCTACAAGAGTTTAATGCTGGTTCACCCCAGGACCCCACAGGAGATGAACCAGATCTGGGGCTGGCTCAGTAGTTCAGATTTAAACTGCCAGTAATTGCTCAATGGCAAGCGCTTTGGGGTACTTCGAGGTTGTTCCTAGAGGCCAAAGAGACATCAAATATTTTGAACAGGGTCATGACTTAACAGTTGGCAGCTTTAAGTTAAGATATTTCTGTCAAGGTCACTTGGAGCCTCAGCATGGAGCGGCTGTTGCATCGTACCTCTAGAAACGAGGAAGGCTGTGTTGTTAACTCTTGAAAATGGCCACCATAGTATTTTGACTTGACACCAGACTTCCACTGACGAGCTAACCCTGCTTCACCATGGAAAGTGACCATGTCTGTCTTTACGTGCACATATTTATATTTATTTATATGGCCTTTCAAATGCTTTAACACTGTGTGTCAGCTCTGTGAGGGAGCGTCTCAATGCTGTATTCTAGAAAAAAGGAGACTAAGAGCTCGGATGTGTCCACCTGGGACTGCGGTCCTTGTTTGGTGAAGGGAAACTGTGTCAGGTTTTTGACACAGAAGAAAACTCCAAAGTTTTCAGCACTGTAGAGTGTCTAAATATTTCAAACCAAGTAAAAGAGAGAAGCTCTTCAACTCCGTGCCTCTATCAGTGGAGCCTTTATGCTGCAGTTCATTGCTGCCAGCTTGTAAAGAGGGTCCTGGTGAACACTTCCTGCTAATTGTTGCTGGTGGCTTGATTTTTGCTGCTATTTCCATCCACACTCCCTTAAGTATTTACATGTGACTTGCGACTCAGACTAAACTAGTTCCTCCTTATAAAAACTCAGAGAGGGTCTTTCATTTTTTTCATTTTCAAACCATTAAGTTATTCTTCATGATCATATTTAAGTCATTCAGTCATTCAGTCAGGCTTACATTGATTCTTATATTTTGAACTATCTTTTTGTTACTTGCTGACTGGATAAAGCAATGCTAAGGGTTTAGAGTTGGGCTGTTCAGTGGAGTGAATCTACGCTTTGCTTCAAGGACACAGGAGGAATTTGAGTTCAGCTCTGTTGCAGGTCTGAACTTGGTTTTGACATGAATGGAAAAATCCAAATGCTGTCTAATATTGCTTCAGGATTTCACGTTACTCAAAAAGAAATTGCTACTTGTAAAAGTTCAATTTTGATTTTTTTTGTTTTTTTATGCTTTAATGTGCCTTATTGAGTGTCTGCAGCTGCTGTGTGGAGTATTTTGTATCCTGGTCATCGAAGCTTTAATGTGTTCCAGGTGAAAAAGAGTTAAAAACACAAGGTGGAACAAGACTAAGCTTATATTATTTGACAAATGGGCTCTGCTGTGTTCACTGGTCATTGTAAAGGTCTCATTTCAACGTTACATATATCCAGCGTAGGACAAAGTTCTGTCACATTGTTGATAGGTGTGTTCATGATAATAACTTATTGATTACCACGATACTCTATTTCCTCTCTCCAGGATGTTTTTGTTGTTTAAAATGACAAATAACACATTTTGAAATGATTTCAAAGTCATTGCTTGGCTACTACTGTCTGGCCTTTAAGTAAAAATGCTGTTCTTGTATTATGAGAGGAGTGCTGCACATATTTACTTTGCATTGTGTTTGTCGGCTGTGAGACACAGTAATACTGCAGACACAGGAGCATCTAAAATCCCTGCAGTTTGACTGAGTGATGTGACATGTCTCAGAGAGTTGAGGGAGGTTCGCTGTTTCTGTTAGCTAGGAAAAGGTCTCCAAAGCGTGTTACGTGAATGTAGATTATAGTCCAAGATTAGGATCTGTCTGCTCTGATTCTATCATTCATTCAGTATTTATCATCAAAACCTGGTCTATTAGGTCAACACTGTCAAACAAAGTTCAATGAATGTTGGTTGTTTCAGAGATTTCAACCCTGAGCCTGGATGTTACACATTTGTTTAAGGAAAAGGTCAGTGTATTGTATGCTTGTATGCCTCTGTTGGAGCTCCCCCTGCTGGTCAGGATGGTGAGCTTTAACTTGACTGACACTGGCTACTCCATGACCCCAAACTATTGGAATTAATGAATACAACCAAGCATACACACTCTTTGTAAGATATTCACAATCTTAACTTCTGATTACTGATCCCTCCTCTTGATTGTTTTTGTCACAGTTTTGTAAAACTCTACACTTTTTCTTCATTCCTCATTTTTTTTGACAATCTCAGTGACCGTCTCACTTTAGGGCAGATTCTGAGCTTTTTCTCTGAGATCTACAACCTTTGAGAAGCTCAGTATACATAAAAAGAGCACTAAAAAGGGTTTAAAGAGGAGTGTGCAGGGGTTTCATCATCCCGAAATATTTAAGTCCAGGCATCACCTTCTAACGTCTGGTTCTTCGGGTCATGTATCAACATCTTTACTCTGGATTTAGACTGCTAGCATACCAATAACATCTTGCATTTTATTTTTGCTGCACAGTTTGAGGCTACTTGAAATGTTAACATGCTTGAAAAGTGCATCATCCCTCACTTCTATCACTGTTTTGATCAGCTTATTACAGTAGTGTCTTTCTTCAAACTCCTCTCCTCCTGCCTTGTACGTTGGAATTCAATCTCTTCACTGTGCTTTATTTTGACCTCATACTCTTCTTTTTCCTTAAAAGGACCTGTCCTCTTCCCTTTTTTTACTTAGACCCACAACTTAGCTTTGTGTTTGCACGGTCAGTGTTTTTCCTTGGTCTCAGTAGCAGGATGAGTTGTTTTCTGAGCTTATGTACAAGTTGGTGCTGTTTCCAAGACAAGACAGCTTGTCAATAAACATAGAAAATTGTCAAAATGTTTTTGATTAATTTATTCAATGTTACAGGAATTCTACTCAAAAATTACAATGGCAGGAAATGTAGTCAACACAAATTCTCCAAAAAATCCTATATTGGATGCAAGATTTGTGATTCAAACATCTTTCATGTTGTACAACCAAAACAGGAGTATTATATCAACATGGTTTCTTTGTTACTGTTAGACCAGGATCAAATATCTAAGTTCTGTTACCTTGAGGGAACACTATAAAACCAATTTTAAGTTATTTAGAGAAATTGTTGCCTTCACACATTCATACTCTTGTTTTTTATTTACTGTACATAGTAGTAGCCATCAGCCCCTGTTCACACGGATTTCAGAAAACTGTTTTTACTGTGTTACATGATACCTGCACTAGTCAGAGAGGATCACCAAATTTGTGCCTCATCTTTGTATGTTCAGCATGGTAAAAAAAAAAACAATCGACTTGATTATTTCAATAAAGTTATATTTTGCTGTATATCTGTTCTACGAATTATTTTGTAAAAAAATAAAGAAATTGTGAAACAAGAATGACGTGAATGTTTTTCTATTTACAGGCTCAACACAAAAATTATAATAATTAAATATAAAAAGGGGAGATTTAGGGTTAGGGTCACAAACATGTTTTGTTCATATAGTCTTTTGGTGATGGTCATCAAACCGTCCACCCACCTACTGGGCCTGCATTTGAAAAGTCAAAGCTTCACACAGGTAAAAGGGTTGTTTTTTTAAATAGTCACTTTGGAAAGGGAAACAGAATTTCAATGACCACAGTGGCTGCTATCAGCAAGAATAAGAGCTAAATAATTTAATTTTAACTTTGTTATCATGCCTCCCCACGATCATTGATTATATTTACTTTTTCATTTAATTGTTCTTTCTCAAAGTCCAATTGTATGAGGTGAGTAGTGTTATTTAGATCTTCAGAAATGTTGAATCAATTGCCTAGGAACACACAGCAAATAAGCAGTAGACATTATTTTAAAGACTAAAACAAAACTATAAATGAACTAAAAAAAGAAACAGATTTTGGAGTGATTTTAATATTGTGAGGAATCATGAATTAAATCTGTAATTGTATTTATTAATTAATTGTTAAAGTGTGATTGTACTGTGATTTTAAGCTTTTGGACCCAAGGAAGACTAGAAACCACTTTGTAGAAGCTAAAGGGGTTCCAAACAAACAAACAAACAAATAAATATATGATCGAGCAAGATCATATGGCAAGAATGCCATTCAATTTGAGAAAATGATGAAATCCCATTTGTGACACAACATATGACTGCTATGTGAGCAAGCAGCCACACTCAACAGAGGCTTAATTTTTAGCAATAACGATCAGCGAAGAGAGTGCTTTCGTGTTTTGTACCCTCTCAAAGGAGTCCATGAAAACAATGACAAGAAACTTTCCTCAATTTGATCAAAAAAGCAGGAGATTTTCTTTGTAGTGTGAAGAAATGAGATAACTGCAGAACTGAGGGGATAAAGGATATCAATAAGAGAGAAGAAGCGTGTTCACATTTAAGTTAAAAAAAAATCACATGTGAACTAAGCTCATGTAGTGAAAGTGCTTTAACAGCAGAGGGAAACAGTGAGAAAACATGCTCACTCTGAACTACATTTCGAGCAACGCAGACTCAGGTTCCCGGTCCTCAGTGTGCCAATACTACAGACTTGTGAGCAGTGAGACAGTTCTGAAATAACTCTTCAAAAAGACAGGCATCACATCTCAAAGAAACATTTGTGGAGTTTTCCAGGGAAGAGTCTCTGCAGTACTAAGAACACTCACTCAGGAGACAAACTCATTACCCTGTTTCTCCTGAGAGTGTTTGCCCAGCTCTTCATCACATGGGACATGGTAGTCATGACGACCATATCCTAGGACAGTCTTAGTCAGCATCTGGTACAGGTGTAGGGGGGTGAAAAGGCATAAGTGCTTTTGTCCCTCTGTCACCTTTAAATGCTCCCTGACTGTGTCATGTCTTGTGATGACACCCTAATTTATTAGATACTCATTCATTCATTCATTCATTCATTCAAAGTCAGACAGACACTGTCTATCATACAAAAAATATCTAGGTTTGTTCCATTTCCCTATCACATAATATTTCTATCATAAGCTGTATGTTAGAAGAGGTTGTGAATAAAAGGGGAGTCCATGCAGAGGCACTTAAAACCACATTCTCTGTTATTACCAGCAGGAGGAGCTGGTTTGAAAAAGAAGCTCAAGGAACATCAACAGGGATGAGCAGGCTTCTCAAAACAACTACCTGATGTGTTTGCTCTGTAGCTGGTTTACTTCATAAAAAGATATAAAAGGGGCACAGTTGGTTTTGCAGTCTAATAAAGGCAAGCAAAAATGCCTGAATCTAACTTTAAAAAAGTGCATTGAAAACACGTTCAACATTTGATGAGATATTGTGTTACCATGACAACAAAAATGAGAAGATAATCAGTTTATACACTTGCCTTCATGAAGTGATGACAGTTTAGACAGCCCTAAAATGATAGTTCACGCAGTGTTACAGGCTTCAAATCAGTAAATGCAGAATTTCCAGCTGCTGATGGCTTTCAGATGGTCTTGGTGAGTTCAAACCAGAATTTGTTTGATCTTTTGCCTTTCAAAATGCCAAACCCTCCATTGTCGTACCTCATACCCTTGTCGAAAAGTACAGGGTTACAGGATAATCCACATGAGGATAGAGTTGGAAAAAGTGCAGCTGTTGTGGCGCTGCACTTCTTCCAGAGGACCTGAATTGTATCAAGAAAACAGAGAGTCGGTAAATTCTCAACCTCCATAAGTGAAAGCACCTGAATCCTCTGGATACAGAACAAACCCCACCCGCCTGGTGTGCTCTGCAGTATAAAACAAAAAACAAGGCACATGCTGAGGATAACTGTTCTCTAATCCAGGTCTAAACCTGAAAGTGACAGCTGAGTCATTCTGTCCACTGAGCTGTTTCCATTGTACTTCCCAGCTCATATTTAACGTTTTACTCAAATTACGTAATTTAACGTTCTCCACTGTTCTGGTACATGGCAAAAAACTAGAATGAATTCTGTCTTTATTTAGTTTAAGTCTTTCTTTACCACATGGTTTGTTTAACTTACAGTGCCCGATAGTTATTCAAAAATTTGCATGCACCCAAAGAGAGAGCGGCTGATCCATAGAGAAAGAGAGAGATTATGTGTCAAAGCACCAACAGCAAATCTGCTCAATGACATCGTTTTTAGAAATAAAGCATTTTTGATCCATGTGAAGTAAAATTTAAATTAAATAAATAAAAGGGGGTAATATAAAATTCTTGAAAGTAAGCAGGTTTCTGTTCTCCTGATAAAAGGGGGTTGAATTTGATCGGCTGACTAAATCTGAAACAAATCTGGCTGCAGGTGATGATCAAATCTGAATGATAAAGAACTGACCACATCCTGACTCAAGATGACATCAGCACGCTGCCAAGGAGTCAGGATGACGACTGGAGCCTTTATTCTCGGAAACTGATAGGAGCAGCAGTACACACACACACACACACACACACACACACACACACACACACACACACACACACACACACACACACACACACCCACACACATGCACAAACACACTGAGAGCTGATCTGTTCCTAAGGGTCCTTGGATGCTGCACTTTCTCATCTACCACTTAAACAAATGTGTAGTGTCTGGTATTCTGGGAACATAACGTAACACACATAAACACACACAGGGTCTACATATTTGGAGCTTTTAGAAAGTTCTTGATGCCTGAATATTAAAAGAAAGGAAATGGGTGGTTTTTATGTCTTAGTCAGCACTGTTTTTAAGGAATGTGTCAAACATTTGTCATTTTTGATCCATCATACCTCATGATGGAAGTAAAATGTTGCTTAAAGCAAAAGAAACATTAAGTGGAAAATACCAAACCTTGCTTTGCCAGAATGAACACAGAAGAAAATAAATATTATTTTCAGCACATACATTGATGCTTCACACACTTCTGTCTCCTATCTCTGCAGATTGGAAAATATTGTGCTGTATGTCAGTAAACGATGGACTTTCACCTTTACTTACTAAGCCTCAGTCACTTTAACACGATGCTTTTTTACTTTTTCCAAACCGGGATAGGAAAGTGGAGGAAACAGTGTGTCAGGGTAAACAAGGAGGTTTTCCTGGTGAAGGATGTGACATGGAGGGAGTGAGTCACCCACTGCTCTGATCCAAATCTCCACTTTTGAGCGAAATCACTAAAACACAGGTAGTAGAGTTCAAAGATAGCATTTACATACTTCATAGCAGTTCAGCTAGGATACTGTTTTACCTCTGCATCTGAAAGGTGAGAAAATTAAACAGGATTCAAGTAAATAGTAATTAGACAGTGTACAGGGAGTGAATCTGAGAAACCATCTTCATAATGTAATCAGTAGTGCAGGAACAGTAACTTACACACAAATGCAGCAGGAGTCATACTGTAGAAATAGATGGCAGAGATACAAATACTGTATGACAGCATGTCAATGTGATTGGAGTGAATACAGAGTATTTATATAGCTTTTTCTCCAGTCCTCTGACCACATTCACAGACTGACAGAAACTGCTATGAAAAGCAACTGCTAGTGCTAACATACCTATTCACACACAGCTGGCACGGCCAATAGAGAACTTAAGGTTTATTTATTGCCCAAGGACATTTCTGTATAGAGACAGCAGGGGACCTGGGATTGAAGGCCGTAGCTGTCTTTACATATCTGTACCCTTGAAATGGAAGCTTACAGTAATGTCTGATGTGGGTCCACTGCAGCAAACTGTCTGTAGGAACGATCAAGAGGAACCTACGGCATGATGGAGCACAGGAACTCGCAGAAAAGACTGTGGTAAGTGTCTTTAGGGGACATGATTCAAAGTTTAAACAGCTTTGGGGAGAGAGAAGGAGAAAAAGGTGCTCAATGGGCCAGAACCCCCAGCAGCCTAAAACCTTTGGCAGCATAACAAAGAGCTGGTCCAACTCTGAACCAGCCCTGACTATAAGCTCCTTAAAAAATGAACGTTTTGAGGCTAAATTAAAAAGTCAAGAGGATGTCTGCCCTCAAGACCTTAACTGGTAGATGATTCCAAAGGAGAGGATCCTGATAACTGAAAGCTCTACAACCCAGACCATTTTTTAAGACTTAGGGCTCTATTTCCGTGCCCGCCAGCAGCGTGGTGTTGGGTGGTGCACCCCATGCAGTGGTATTTTAGTGCAGTGCAGCCCAGTGCACAGCCAGTTTGGTGTTTTGGTAGACTGAGGTGCACTGAGGTCCACCAAGCTGGGCGTGGTGATGCAGTAGGGGGAGGTGTCAACAGAATCAGCTGGCGCAGTGATATTTTTCGTGCTGCCGTACCGACGTAGAAAGTGTGCTGAAAGCTCACCGATTCAAACCTGGTCAGCTGTTGGCGCAGGTGGAGTGCAGCTGGTCTAGTGGTGTTTGGGTCAACCGGCGGTGTAGTGCCCACATGTCACCAATGCCTCACAGGGAGGTTTTCACAGTGCGAG